AGAGCTGTATAACAGTGATTACAACAATAAAACTTTTTCTTTTATTGTATATATTAGACATAATGGCAAGGCTGTAGAAGAAACATTTATTATATCAAAAAAAAAAACAAGGTTCAGAAAGAACTACAGAATGACATACAGTATTTTTATTTTAGACTTGATAATTAGTAAATATATTTCAATGTAACTGAATCTATGTTGTGTTTATTTACATTTAATTCAATTAATCATTTATCTTGTCATAATATTGAAAAACATTGGTATATAAATGGTAAAATGTGAATTTTAAGTTAACTGCTCATGTGAAGGTTAGAAACTATCAGTCAGTTTTTTTTTTTTTTTTAAGAAACAAACTACAGTATGCTGGTTATCATACTATTTTAAAAGAGGGATATACCCATTCAAAAGAGAGATATAACAGAAAATCTATATTACTCAATTACATAATAAGCCAACTATAAGTACGACTATCATATGGAAACTTTCAGTCAGATGTTTTTTTTTTTATTTGTTTTTTTTTTAAAGAAACAAACTACAGTATGCTGGTTATCATACTATTTTGGAAACTATCAGTCAGGTGTTTTTTTTTTATATTTCATTTTTTAAATATTTTTTTGATTTTTTTTTTAAAGAAACAAACTACAGTATGCTGCTTATCATACTATTTTAAAAGAGGGATATACCCATTCAAAAGAGATATAATTCTCTTTCAACATTAAATGAAGATATCTTTACAGTTTTTCTTCATTAACAGAAAATCTGTATTACCCAATTACATAGTAAGGCGAAGTACGACTATCATATCTGAATGGTTCATCTTTGAAATCACTGGTATATAAATGGTAAAATGTTGATGTAATATTTTCTCTTAATTTCAATTTAACTGCTCATGTGAAGGTTAAAACTATCAGTCAGGTTTTTTTTTTTTTTTTTTTTTTTTTTTTTTTTTTTTTAAGAAACAAACATACTATTTTGGAAACTATCAGTCAGGTTTTTTTTTTCAATTTTATTTATTTTTTTATTTTTTATTTTATTTATTTTATTTTTAAAAAACAAAATACGGTATGTTGGTTATCATACTATCTTAAAAGAGGGATATACGCACTCAAAAGAGAGATATCTCTTTTTCAACATTAAATGGAGATATCTTTACAGTTTTTCTCCATTAACAGAAAATCTCTATTACCCAATTACATAATAAGCTGAAGTATGACTATCATATCTGAATGGTTCATCTTTGAAATCACTTGTATATAAATTGTAAAATGTTAATAATATTTTGTTAATATTGTGAAGGTTGGAAACTATCAGTCAAGTTTTTTTTTTTTTTTTAAGAAACAAATTACAGTATGCTGGTTATCATACTATTTTAAAAGAGGCATATACCCATTCAAAAGAGAGACATCTCTCTTTCAACATTAAATGGAGATATCTTTACAGTTTTTCTCCATTAAAATAGCAAAAAATCTATATTACCCAATTACACAATAAGCCATAGTATGACTATCATATCTGAATGGTTCATCTTTGAAAGCACATAATCATATTTAAATAAGTACAGAATCACTTTCAAAACCTTTAACTGGTTATCATACTATTACAAAAGAGGGATATACCCATTCAAAATAGAGATCTCTCTTTCTCTATTAATGGAGATATATTTACAGTTTTGCTCTTCATCTTTGAAATCTTTAAGTTTCCTTGATGGATTTCCATGCTTTCCCTCAAGACAAATAAGCAACTTTGCAACCTTTGCAACTTGCAGTGCTGGATCTGGTAATCGATAGTATTCACGATGAACACGTACGTCATGACCAAGGAAGTTCGCTATCACATCAAGTTCGTTATCTTGGAGATTCATTACCTGGGACATTGTGGCAATATGTTTTCGTAACCTCTGTCTCTTATACACATCTAGATGTGTATAAGAGACAGGCCATGATCTGAATTGCATTGCAATGCTTTGGTCTGCCGGCCTTTGGAAGAAATCTTATTGCGTATGTAATCCTTGATATTTCGCCATGTGCGATTATGTAAGCATGCTTCGTTCTTCATACACTTTTCAATTTCGGATTTCCCTGGAAGTTTCCTATATCGTATGTATTTCAACAGGTGTCTTTCCACAGCAGCCATTTCCTTTGTCGACCACCTTCTTCGGATAAAAGTTTGCTTGTTTTCCTTTCCATCTGAATTGTTCCAATGTTTACGTTTTTTGCCTGAATTGTTACAGATAAATATATGATTAATAAACAAACTAATTTAATTTGATTTGTTTCAATAAAAAATTATTTAAAGTGTGAAAGTACTTTGTACATATAGAAGGTCCAGAATTGGAAATTGAGGGGAATGCACCTCAGCCCCACCACAGTTTGGGCTAAGGTGAGAAAATTTTAAGCATACAGCACCTCTAAATTGTCTAGAAAGAGATACTGTAATACTTTAAATGATTTAATCCAAGTTGACTGTTTATTTTTTACAATTGTTAACTTTACTCTGACCCCGTTGATATTTAAATTGGCAATATAACCCTAAAAAGTATACTCTTGTTATTAGTCTACTTCAAGATTGAAAAATTGACCCCTTGAAATATCTAGCTGGTAAAATCGTCACACACAAGAAAACTAGAATTCAGATAGCTGCATTGCCTGGTAAAGATTCAATGACATCGATTCAAAACACGGCAAAGTATTAAAATTCATTTAACTGTTTAATTTTAAGTCGCCAACTAGATATCATTTTTCTTTTTCCGTAAGGCCAAAAAAAAAAAAAAAATTCTTGTGTTGGCAATGTTTTGGAAAAAATCCACCAAAAAAAAAAAAAAAAATGGGTAGGGCAGTAGGATTTTTTTTTTCTTTTACCAATCATGTGTTTATGCCTAAATCATAGGAAATACAAAAAAAATACATCAAAGACCATTTTAAAATCTATATTGAAGAAACAAAACAATTGCATAAAACACTGTTGCATCACCTGTCGCAAGGTAGGCAAATTCTAGCGTTTTTAGCTCATTAAAACATTTTTGTTTATAGTCAAAAAGAAAAAAATAAATAAAAAATAAATAAATAAATGAAATGGCAAACTGGTCAACACAATCATTTGTTCTACTAGGCTAATCAGTTAATGAACTTTATATGTAAATTGCCATTTATTAACCATGGAACTGATATTTTCTGTTGTCCCTTTGAAAATCTACATTTTTTCTAAATTAGGCTTTGGACCATACTGCATTAAGGCTTACTGTACCTTTCTTTGATTTGATTCCTTCCTTCATTACCTGGTCATCACTAGCATCATCACTCTTGTCAATGTCCTCACCTTCATCTCCTGCTGATTTGCCCTCTTCATCTACTACATCACAATCATTCTTGTCAATGTCCTCATCTTCATCTCTTGCTGATTTGCCCTCTTCATCTACTACATCACCACACTCGATTTCTGAAGGGAAAAACATAAATTATTTCCTTATAATTCATTAAAATTCAAATTATCAATCAGTAGGTATTACAGAAGGAAAAGGATGAATGTAATAGAAAAAAACTGAAAAAATAATAAACGAAAAAAAAAATATATATAAAAGAAAACAACTTTGTGTACCTTCGTCATCATTCAGCTCTAAATCATCCAAACTTTTCCCTTTAAGTTTCCTTGATGGATTTCCATGCTTTCCCTCAAGACAAATAAGCAACTTTGCAACCTTTGCAACTTGCAGTGCTGGATCTGGTAATCGATAGTATTCACGATGAACACGTACGTCATGGCCAAGGAAGTTCGCTATCACATCAAGTTCGTTATCTTGGAGATTCATTACCTGGGACATTGTGGCAATATGTTTTCGTAACCTGGTGCTGCGCAGCAGTTCTGGCTGCTTAGCACCACACATTTGTGAGAATGCGCGAAGTGCATCACATCCTCGTATGTGATGATCTGACCCCATTGACACTGCAAATACAAACTTATTTGTAGGACTTACGCCCATGGCATGTCGGTGTTTAAGCACCTCATCTACTGCTACTTTCATTGCTGAAGGTAATAGGACTGGCACAACACGTCCCTTTTTCCCAACAATTTCACATCGCCAAATCACCTTTACCAGATCCTGTTCAAATTTGCTTAGCATCTGTGCATCAAATACCTGGGACTCCCCTTTCTTTACATGTGAGTAATCTTCAAGTGTTAACTTTGACATTTCTCCTTGCCGTCTGCGATTAAACAATATCAGTTGAACTAACGTAACTTTGCAGAGTTCCTTCCATGCAGCCTCCTCCGGCTTAACACCAGCTTTCAAGGTGGACAAACATTCTCTGCTCTTTGTTTCCATGTACTTGGACAAAACAACAACGTCTTCAGTCAATGGAACAAGTTTTGGGTTGTTCCTGCGTTTGACATCAAGTGTTCTCAGGGCGTGGCATGACACATCTGTATTCCACTCACTCTCACAGAGTTTTGAAAAGTTTTCCCCTCTAGCTATGTTTCTTTTATCTCCATCAATCAATGCCTTTCTAACTACTAACATTGCAGCTTTCTTCAACATATGACCCAGCTTTAAAACTAAAGTTGGTTTCTCACAGAGATGAGTCTTCTCATCAAACCCTGCCACTTTCCTTACTGCATTAATTACATCTTCATACTTGCTTGGATCAATAAGATCAACTAAACCTGCATTTTCATTCCCCTTAATGCATCTGAATTCAAGCATAAGACGAGCTGTTTGTCTTAATGTTTGACGCATACTGTCAAATTGCTCTGGGTCATGGCCATTCTTACTGCATAACTTTTCAGCCATCTTAATTATTAATGGGTCACCCGTAATTATCAATGAAATAATCCCTGTCTGAAGGCCCCCCCAACAATTCTTGGACTATTGCTGAATTGCTATCAACTTGCGATGGTAGCAGAAGTCGACCTTTCTTGATATACTGCTTTTTCTTCCCATCATTTTTTGTATCGTCCTTCCTCAGCTTACATCTGTCTCTTATACACATCTAGATGTGTATAAGAGACAGATCTACTACATCACCACACTCGATTTCTGAAGGGAAAGTTTTGAAAAGTTTTCCCCTCTAGCTATGTTTCTTTTATCTCCATCAATCAATGCCTTTCTAACTACTAACATTGCAGCTTTCTTCAACATATGACCCAGCTTTAAAACTAAAGTTGGTTTCTCACAGAGATGAGTCTTCTCATCAAACCCTGCCACTTTCCTTACTGCATTAATTACATCTTCATACTTGCTTGGATCAATAAGATCAACTAAACCTGCATTTTCATTCCCCTTAATGCATCTGAATTCAAGCACAAGACGAGCTGTTTGTCTTAATGTTTGACGCATACTGTCAAATTGCTCTGGGTCATGGCCATGCTTACTTCATAACTTTTCAGCCATCTTAATTATTAATGGGTCACCCGTAATTATCAATGAAATAATCCCTGTCTGAAGGCCCCCCAACAATTCTTGGACTATTGCTGAATTGCTATCAACTTGCGATGGCAGCAGAAGTCGACCTTTCTTGATATACTGCTTTTTCTTCCCATCATTTTTTGTATCGTCCTTCCTCAGCTTACATTTGTGTTTATAAAACTCATTTTTGCTGTAATACCCTAGGCAGTCAACACAAGGGCAGTAGTCATCCGGATTAGCATCATCATTTGTTGGTCTATAAACTACAATTAGATCTCCTTCTCCTTGTTTCAGCACGTTATAGTTGTGCAAATGATTACCCAGATTTCGGATCTTTATCCACAGTTGATTCCTTACATTTTTTGGTGCAGCCAAGTATTCTGCTACCATTGGGTCACTGCTGTGCTGTAAAATGTGTACGGTTAACTTCTTCTGTGGTTTTAAGCAAACGGGACAATATGAAGGCTTGTCATACTTTCTCTTATTTGCAGAATTGTTTGTCGATAGAACAAACACTTTACCTGTACACGAACCATCATTCTTGGACTTCTTAACTGAAAAAAAGTAAAATAAATCAATATTTTTATTCTATAGTATTATATAAATTTTTCAACACTGCAGATATTTATCCCATTAATCCATGGTAATGTCTATCATCAAATTAAAATAGAATAGAATAGAAACATTATTATTCAATTTTCAATTGACTGCATGCTGATAATTTTATAATCTGAAATACTGTATACAGTACAAAATAAAATCAATTCCAATTTCTATAACATTGAAAAACTTCCAAAAAGCAGCAATTATAAACCCAACCCCATCTAACTCAACACTGCACAGTTCTGTAGCCCTCTATTCACTCAGAAAGGGTTTTTTGCATAGATATAAGGAGCTTATACTACTTTTATCCTGGCTTAAAACTTTATCAAACACACTATTGTCCCTTTACAAAATTTAGCAGGACCAAATTGAATTATATCATACAAAAGAAACACATAAATTACAAATTAGTACCCACTAATACTTTGTGGGGGAAAAAAAAACAAAAGTTTAAATATAATGTAGGTTTACCTTTTTTTGCTCTTTTGACCTCATCGCTGCTCATAAGTTCATCCTCCTCACTTTCTACTTCATTATATTCAATTTCCGGTTCCCAATCTTCATCATTTATGTCATCAACCACATCATTATGATAAACTGCAGCATCAATCTTATCTTCACTATCGCTGTTAGAT